ACTAGTTTGACTTTGAACATATTTTGCACATTCTTTACGCATTGTTATTAGACTAGTTTTGTTCGAAGATGGATAACGACTGCCTGATTTCATGCTGCTTGACAATATAAAACCATAAACAGGCAGGTTTTTAACATAAATTGAGCAAGCAACTTTTCAAAGTCAGTAGTAGTGTAACTTGAGAATTCTAAGTTGTTTTTGCCATTTATCTTGTTTACCTCACTACTTTCATCATTTTGACACAGAGGCACCGAAGAGAGTGTTGCGAAATCCTGTAAATAACTTTAACAGCCACCTCCAATTCACATGGAGATGTTTTTGTAAGAATACGAGAGCAAGGTTACGGTGTTGGAGTGTAATCTGCCATTGCATTTGCTGCATTGACAACGTCTAACACAAGCACACACACACCAGCGTGTTAAGTATTCTCTGTTTATCTTCTTGTGAAGTCACTCCTGCCTGCCAAGCATCAGACCTTGAAAGTGTGGAGACATGGGGTCAATTGCATTACAGTATGTATTCCACTTCAGAGGCTTCTTATCTAAGACTGATAACAAAATCCTTTACTCTCCCCAAATCACAGCGACAGTGGTATTTTCACTAGAGGAAAATGTTTTGGAAATGACAGAATTAGATCAAAATATCATGCATGGTGAATTGAGGAAATGTCCATAAAAAATTCAAAATGAGACAATAGGTTTCTACTAAAGGTCTTTGAAAATCATTTCTTATAGCATTTGTGGAGCGTGGTCTGCTTCTGACTTTTATATCTTGTTAAGAGCTTGAAAATAAAGATCTGGTTAGTTTATAAATAAACAGAGAATTGTTTAACCAGGGTTTTTTGAACTAGGGTCTGCAAGAGTGCTTCTTTGAAACATGTATTAATAACATAAATAGTAAGATATGCTGTTAACTATAGGTAAATATTGCTTTTATAGTAACACACAGTATTATGTATTGTTTAATAATGGGTACATGAAAATATATAGCTATCGGAAGGGGGTACCTTGAAAGTCATCCTATTTGAGGTTCTTTTGCATCAAAAAATGATGGTTCAAATACAGTGAATTTAGTGAAATGTACAGTGCTGTTCAAAAGTTTGGGGTTGGTAAGATTTCTGGTGATAGGTCACCAAGACTGCATTTCTTTGATCCAAAATACTGTAAAAACAGTAATATTGTGAGATATTATTACTACAGTCTTCAGAATCACATGATCCTTCAAAAACTGTTAGAAAAAAGTTGTGCTGCTTAGTATTTTTGAAAACACCATGATACATTTTCCAGGTTTCTTTGATGAATAGACAGTTCAAAAGCATTTATTTGAAATAAAAATCTTTTGTAACATTATAAATATTTTACAGTCACTTTTGATCAATTTAATGTATCCTTTCTAAATAGCAGTATATTTGTATTATTAAAAGTATCTGACCCATCACTGTAAAAAATGATTCCACATTTTAGATATTTCAATGTAATTTTGTAAGTTGATACAACTTGCGGTTTCTAAATTTGTTAATTCAACTTACCATGTTAAGTTTTCACTGTCTCAACTAGTCTGTAAGTTGACTTAACTAGAGTATGTGTCACCTCAACTTAAAAACATATGCTGAACCAGTAAGGTTAGTCTCATTATTTATCGCGAGTAAGCTATAGCATGTAAGCTAAGTTAGCTAAATGTCAGCCAACTAAAGCTAAAAATCTATAAAACTAGCCAACTATTACTTATTTTTCTTTTATTTATTTAACGTAGGCTACAATATTCTTTGTAGCTCTTATTTATCTTATTTACTCAATTATAAGATTGAGTAAATAAAACTTAACTGAGTCAAAGCAAAAAGATAACTAAAAAATGTAAGTTGAGTGAACACATTTTTTTTTTTACAGTGCAGTAGTGTATTTAGACTGAATATTTCCAACCAACCTACACAGCTTTACAAGACAAAGAAAAAAAAGTGTTGCAAAACAATGACAACAGTCCGTTTCCACGCCTACTCAACAGTGCTTGGAGTTCACACATCTAACGGCAGCCGTTAGGTAAGCTACGGCCCCTAAGACCAAAGCTAGCCATTGCATACCCAATCAAGGGCCAGGATGCTAGGCTTGTTAACTCGTTTATGTGAATGTGGTGCTCCACCCATTACAAGTGTCCCTCCAACCCTGCAGTCACCTAATCTGACTGTGGCCTTTTGTGTGGTGTTGAGATTGAAGGCATATTGAACAGACCCATCCATGGGCCATTCAGAGGGTATAACGTTCCTGCATCTTCAATATCAGATAGCTTCTAGTCAGGACTGTCTATCGATCCAAGGCTTTAGCACTTCTCTAGCGGGTGAGTGGCAGCTTCTAGTCTAAGGAAGATAAACGCCATGGAGGTGATGAGTCATTCCTGTCTGGTGTGCTCTTCTCTGTCTCTCTATCGACTTCTGTTCACCTCTTCTTACAGCCAAGTCCTTTTTACCACTGTACAAGCCTCATCTAATATGCTGTAATGCACTGCTCTGAGAGCGGGAGGGTGCTATTATAAAAAATTTAATTGGAAGGTGCAGCAAGAATTCTTAAATATTCTTAGCTTTAAATTTAAAGGAATGTTCCAGGTTATACTCAGTCAACACTATTTGTGACATAATGTTGATTAAAAAAACAAAACAATTTTGGCTCATCTATCATTTTTCTTTAAAAAAAAATGCAAAAATCGAGGTTACAGTGAGACACTCACATGGGAAGTGAATAAGGCCAGCTTTCAGAAGATTTAAAAGCTGTTATGTGAAGCATATCATTTTATAAAAGCACTTACATTAATTCCTCTGTTAAAATGTGTGTATTATTTGAGCTGCAAAGCTGTTTAAATAAGTTTTACAGTATATTTTTAGGGTTTTATTGTGTTGCGTTATCATGGTGACAGATGTGATATTGAAATAATTTTACACAGAAAAGGTTAGTAAGTAATTTCCACACTAAAATCATGTTAACATGCATTTTCTATACATCTTGCGGTTATACTTTTGAAACAGTATTTTTAGGTTAACGGATTGGTCCCATTCACTTTCATTGTAAGTGCCTCACTGTAACCTAGATTTTATTTTTTAAAGAAAACAAGGGACAAGTGGAAATTATGGTTTGCTCAATAGATAAAGTGCACAATACGCTCATTTTGTTCCTTCAGTATCAGCATGTCAACCTTTGATGACATTGTCAGATTTAAATTAGACTATACAAAGTATAGCTGAAAAGGCAGCAGAATATTATGATCCATGGCTCAGAGTTGGAAAGACATGTGGCTTGTGGCAGGCAGCCCTCGAAAGCAGCCAGTCTCAGCGGGAAGATGTGACGGGACGGGAGGGAAGGGGGTGGTCTGGTCTGAGACGCTGCCTGTGAAAATTAATCTCAGGCTATATCTCAATATCTCAATGCAAAACTGCCCAGCAAAATCCTCTCTGCATTTCTAATGTGTCACTGCATGAGCCTGAGGTGGGGGAGGAAGTGATGTGTGGGGGCAGGGCAGGACTGATTCAAAGGGGTAAATGATTGCCCTCTAGGGGAAGGAGAAATGAGAGAACGGTAGAGAGGTTTATCAGAGACAGAGCTGGCTGTCAGCCAGAGCTGTGGCTAAGGTGGTCTACAGACAGAGAGAGAGAGAGAGAGAGAGAGAGAGAGAGAGAGAGAGAGAGAGAGAGAGAGAGAGAGTTGCTCACCTCCTTGACACAGCAAATCTTTGCACTCCCTCTCCTGTCTGCTGTCTGGACGCATCATATTATAAAAAGAAATATGCAAGGTAAATATGTAGGTCAAGATAACCGGGTTGTATATAACATCATTATTCTATTATGAGCAGGCTTTAGAGTAATAACCTACATACATTTTCCTTGCATAATATAAAGGAAGTGGGACAGGGGGGTATAGTCAACACTGATATTACATTGTCAAGATGTGAATCAATGAATTCAGCGTGAATGTTGAGTAGTGTGCAGGACACCAGCAGATTCTCCTAACAACAAAGGAGAAGAAACCGGAGAAAAAAATCGGACAGATCCTGAAGTTTGAACAGTATATTTAGGCCGATTTCCAATCATTAAATGCAGTGTTTAAACTGTGGGGGGCTTATGAAGGGACCCAGACCCCTTTAAAAAAAATTGTTAGTCACATTTGTTTATTGCATTATAAAAAACTAAATTAAGTATTTATGTTTTTCCCATCTCTGATTAGTGGTCTTAAATTGATTTTCTGTGTGAAAGTTTTAAACACCGTTTTGTGATGTGTTTACAGGACTGACACTGCAGATCCTCGTCTTCACATGATAAGATTCAAGTTTTCAGTTTATTATTGTTCTATATAAGTTACACTAGGCATTTTATAGGTAGCCTAATGCCTAAATAGTGCATGGCAAGGACATGCACTGATTTTTCAACAGATACACTAAATGTTGATCCTCTCACGTTATCTCTGTCCCCTGGTGTCTCACCCTGAAAGGACTGGTGTTCATTCAATATGCCTGTCTCGCACAAGTAATGAAAATCCCACCCACAGGCGTGCGCACAAATGAAATATTGGGCTGTGAATGGAGGTAGGATGGCAACAAGGCATGTCCGAATCCAGTGTGTGCATAGTAAGATGCCTTGATCTGGTCAGTTTTTGAAGGCACTTTTATATTGGCTACCACAATCATGTATGTGCAAAAAATAATCATAATAAAAAAGGCAACTGGTGGAGCATTCAATTCATTTAAATTGTTCATTTTTTAAATCATAACTCATTTTGTAATGAGAATAAATACAGTCACTTAATATTTATTTGATTGATTATACCACAGATTTAAATTTGTTTTAGATTAGTAAACATGACAATATGGTGCCAGAATAGCCTGTCATTTGGTTATGAAGGCACCACTTATCTAGCTCGGTCGCAAGGGGTTAAACGAATGTCTAGGCTTGTGGGAGGAGCCGCGGCCCGCTATTGGATAATTATACGTGACGCAATCGATATGAGAAACCTAGGAACTAGTTAAGAAGGCAGTCGGTAACTTTGAAAAGAGGTTTGGTCAGAGTGCGGCAGCTGTGAGTCTATCAAGGGGGAAAAGTATCTTTGAACATGGTGCAGCAGACGGAGCACCGCGAGACGGAGAGCAGCATGTCGCGAGAGACCACAGACAGCGAGGAGAACGAACTGATGGCGTGCAGCCCTGTGCCACCGAAACCGGACTGGTGCAAGACAGCCACCGGCCACATTAAACGACCCATGAATGCCTTTATGGTGTGGTCAAAGATCGAGAGGAGAAAAATCATGGAACAGTCTCCGGACATGCACAATGCTGAGATCTCCAAAAGGCTAGGAAAGCGGTGGAAAATGCTGAAGGACAGTGAAAAGATTCCCTTTATCCGCGAAGCCGAGCGGCTCCGGCTCCAACACATGGCTGACTACCCCGACTACAAATACAGACCGAAGAAAAAACCAAAGCTCGACAGTTCTTCGAAACCAGCGGTGCATTCGCCGGAGAAGATCAGCAAAAGTGTCAAAGCTGCGGGGAAGAAGTGCGCAAAGCTCAAGCCGAGTAAACCGGGGAACGTTACAGCGAGAGCTTCTTCACAAGACTGCAGATTCAACTATGTTTTCACAAACTTAAAAGTGACCAAGTCTATCAAAAGGGAACTTACTGACGACGAAGACGAGGACGATGACGACGACGACGAGGAGGATGAGTATGAGGATGAGGAGCACATCAGGCTGCACAACGTCCCCGCGAGCCCCACGCTGAGCTCCGCTGCGGAGTCCGAGGGCGCGAGCATGTACGAGGAGTCCAGACACACGAGCGCAACTCCCGGCAGCAGACTGTTTTACAACTTCAAGAACATTACCAAGCAGAGCGCAGCTTACCCTGCCTCGGTGTCACCAGCATCATCTTTCAGGTCCGTTTCTTCTTCGTCCAGCAGCTCCAGCGAGGACTCCGATGACTTGCTGGTAGACTTCAGTTTGAACCTAGCGGCTGGCTCTCACACGACGGACTTGGGGAACACTTCAGGAAACCTTTGTCTCTCTCTGGTGGATAAAGATTTGGACTCTTTCAGCGAGGGCAGCCTTGGTTCTCACTTCGAGTTCCCGGACTATTGCACTCCCGAGCTCAGCGAGATGATCGCGGGAGACTGGCTGGAGGCGAACTTTTCAGACCTAGTTTTCACTTACTAACTGACAAACTCCAGAACCAAGGAGGCATCTCGCATCTTCAGGTTATTTTTTTGACTGCCTCTGTGGTTGTCCCGGTTTTGACAACGGAACCCGCGTTACGAGACTTGTAACGTAGGAAAGAAAAGTGACAACATGGTCAACATTGACAGGGCTGTGTGTATGGCAAGCGCTTTTAACATGTATTCCTTAAAACTACATAGCATCTATTTGAATCTGACTCGCTTATTTTTATCCTAGCAAGTAATCCATTGGTTTCTTTTTCAGTTCACTAGAACTTAACCAGCAATATTACTTATTCTGTTAAGTTGACAAGTAACTATTCTTCTGTTACTGGTAAAACAAATTTTTTTTTTTTTTTTTTTGGTGGGTCATTGCCAGATGTGAATTATTCACTATATGTGTTTTGTAACTGTTGCTGGTATATGTTCCAGTTTTACTAGTACCTAATTATCAGGCACTAGTGTGTATTCCAGTTGGTATAGGATAGTGACTAGTAGGAATAAGTAATAGTGTGTTATATAAATGATTGATTGCTAGTGAAATTGAGATACTAACAACTGTTGAATTGCTTACTAACTAAAATAAGTGCTAGTCCTATGAAAATAGATACAATTTAGTTTAAAGCAATAAATGTTAAAGTATCTTGCCATAGTGTGTGGTTATTCTGTGGGGTTGCAGTGAAACTGCTTAAACTGTGGTGGAGAGCAAAATGTAAAATCTGAACTATGCATTCCCATCCCACCCATATCTCTACAGGGAACTGGCAAACAGCCGTTGGACCGAATGGAGGCAATTCTGAAACTGTTCAGGATGGAACTTTTTCTGAGGTCTTATGTAATTTCTGTACACCACAAATGTTTTTTTTTCTTGTAATGGTTCAGTTTCCCTTCAAGTACAGGAATATTTAAGCAGATAACCACTCTAGAACACACAGGTATGGCAGGAAGCATTTTGATACATAACCAACATACCTCATCTTTTTAAAAAAAAAAAAGTAAAATATTTTCTGGCATATTTTTGTACAGTTAAAGGGAATGTTCTTACTGTGCTTTAAGTGAGGTTTCTTCAGGCACTTCAACCCGGTTTTATTTGTAAAAGCATGCAAAAATTAAACCGAGAATTCGAACTGAGAATTTAAATGCCTGGTTATTTTACTCAAGGCAAATGTACAGCTGTAGATCTGAAGCGTTTCTTTAGGGAAGTGTACAATGGAATTGGGGGAACACATGAGCCTAATTTCTGGTACTAGATTGAAGATTGTATATGTTCTGTAATATAGTAAAGCTAGGAGTTTATGTATATCTGTGTGAATGGGTCCCAAATAGCAGGTGTAAAACTGGATTTTGTTTTGCATTTTTTTTTTTTCATCATAATGGCACATTTGTTTTTCATTATTTTTGTGCAATATACTCTCAAAATGGACCATCTGCGTTTTTGTAGCAAAGGAAATGAGTTACATGTCGTCATGCTGAAGTCTGTATCTGACACAAATAAATCAGCTGGAACTGATAAGAAAATGTTTGTCTGGTTAATGGCATGTGTGCATGTGTGTTTGAGTGATCAAAGGAAGGATATTTGTGATCTTGCCATTGGGCTCCTTCAGAAGGGTTGGTGTTTCCAGATGCATGCAAACATTTTCCCACCCCTTCTTTCAAATTGAGTAATGCCTTTATTTTCCTTCCTCCATTCAACTGGAAAAAAATCTGCCCCTTTAAGAAATCAAATATCGCGCTGCCGGATGAAGCTCATTTTGATTGGTGTAACTATGACCCCCTCACTGTAAAAAGTAATACCTAGATCTAACTTATAAAAAGTGAGGCAAGTGGCTGCATTGGATGTTTTATGTTGATTCAACTTGCAGCCTTTTTTAAGTATATTGAACACTTTAACATTACTTTATACAAACGCAACAAAATCAAGTTGAGTTAACTAATAGTACTAGTATTACTCAGTTAGATAAACCTACTTTTATTGGTACAGGTAACTTATTTATGAGTTGCTACAAGTAACCTGTACTCATTTTAATTAGGTTTTATGAACTTTGTTTTCTTAGTAAAATTAACTTAATCATATGTGAATAAACATTTTAATATTTTTTTTTTAATTGTCAATAACAATTACAAATTCAATTGAAGAAGAAAAAGATGAGAAGATAGATTGAAAACAATATATAATTTATTCAATGTCAACCAGTGTCACTTTTAACAGTGACTACAAAACAGCAAATAAATGTGGCCGCACATGTACACTCTAATATAAAACAAACACTGTAGAAGTGTATTTTCAACCTGTTCTGAACAGTACAGTGAAATATCCAAACTGCCCAATCTGAAATGTTTGGATCAAGGTAAATGTGAGCCATAACATCACATTGTATCACACTGGAACTGCAATGTCAAAAATGACATGATGATGGTTTAGGACGCACAGGGTCCAATCCTACAAAAAGCCTCTGATATATCTCAAGTATACACCAGTTTTGAGGGATACTTGAGGTCGAGAGCATAGGTAAGTTCAAACAGGAGGCAGCATGCTTTCGACAGGTTTGGCACACCTCTGACCACGGGCTGTCCTTATATGATAATCCCAATCGTGTCGGGGTGATGGCACATGTAAATTTTCAGTGGGCAACTGCCAAGCTCAGCGTGCACCTCTGTTTCAGCCCGACTCTATTGGTGGAGACAAAAAAGAAACAAGAGTTTGGTCAGACAAATAGGAAATGAGATGAATATTAGCAGACAGGTAGAAGAGATAAGACACAAAGTCCAAATTGTACTTTTGTTGCTAAAGGTGGTGGATACAAGATGGATACTGTGACTAGAACATGTGACCAGAGTGAAGTCTACCATGACAATGCCATAGAGTGTGGGTACTTAAATATCATGATCTACTCTAGCATGAGTGTTGTATTTTTCTGGTTCAAAGGATGCATTACAATAAACCAATAGCAATAGTCCTTTCCTGTACCTGATTGGTCATCACATTACTGTTAATTAAGCTACAGTTTAAATATCTTTCAAGAGCAAACGTAATCACCCCATATCATCACAATATTAATAAACCCACTAAGCAAAATTATGTCCAAAAGACATCTTTTCAACGTCTTTGTCACAAAGACGTGCATTGAAAAGACGTCCACTGAGGAGCCAGAATGAAAGTTTTTACGACTTTTTTTAGGTGTTCTGTAATGAACGTTCACGGAAGCTCCTTTCAAGGTTGAAAACTAGTTCAGATGTGGACAATTTTCAACATCATTTAAGGTCTCATTTGGACAATTTATACTTATTCTAGACCAAATAAACACTCTCAGGATATATTAAATTAAAACTCACATTTATTTCAATGTAATTTCCATGTGTAATTGCAAAGCAATTAACAGACAGTGAAGTTTCTTTTCATGATTTTTGGACAAACACGCACTGACACCTTTAGACAGTTTAGCATCTGTAATTTATACATATTTGGATCGTGAGAGAAATCAGATTCGAACCAGGGACCTTAAGCTGCCTGCCCTAAGTAGACTGTGTTTGTCCAAAAATCATGAAATCATTACTGTCTACTTAGGGCAGGCAGCTTAAGGTCCCTGGTTCGAATCTGATTTCTCTCACGATCCAAATATGTATAAATTACAGATGCTAAACTGTCTAAAGTTGTCAGTGTGTGTTTGTCCAAAAATCATGAAATCATTACTCTGTTTGTGAGTTGCTTTGCAATTAGAAATTACGTTGAAATAAACATGAGTTTCAATTTAATGCATCCTGAAAGTGTTTATTTGGTCCAGAAACAGTTTAAATTGTCTAAATGAGACATTAAATTACATAAAATATGTCCACATCTGAACTAGTTTTTAACCTTGTATGGAGGTTCCCTGAACGTCTATTGGACTTACAGAACACGTATAATCTGATCAAATTGTAATTGAATCTATTCTGAAGTTTGTCTTACCTGGATGTGAAGCTCGAAGACCCCAGGTAACAAAAGTGCTTGGGTATCTAAAGACCGGGAAAATGTTAGATGTTAGAAATAAGGTTAAAAAATCAGTTGTAAATGTAACTTCTTTAAGTAATAGATTAGAAATAGTTTAAAAATCTAGACCAAAAATATGTCATTAATTGACTATGCAGCATTAAAATAACGTGGATCAAATCTCTAAAATCAGACAGACTACTAAACATACATCTCTACAGTCTAATCTGTGCATCTGCTTTAGTAATGCAAAAGTATAATAACATAATCTCTGAGTCCTGTCAGACAAACACACAAAACAAAGTGTTGTCCATAAAACATCACATCTTACTTTCCCTTATTTGCCCGCACAACTATTGCCTGAAGGCTCGAAATTGCGACCGTTTCGATCGCATTTGATCCCGAAATTTAATCTGTGCAATCTAACAATATAACTGAGGGCATTTGTGCAAATAATTATTACATACGTAACTTGTATGTGTTTTTAAACGCTGCTGTTGTCTGCCGATCGACCACACTGTGCAGCCATCTTAGCTTACCATGTGTGCAGGATAGCTAGCTATACAATTTGCAAACCTAACCTCAGCTCCCTAGTGGAGTAAGCGATTTTGCGTGACTTTAGTTTACATCACCAGTCATTCGGCTAAATTTGCTCAACTTACCGTGTTAATCAGACCCTGAAATTCAGATCCGCTGCAGCGACCAAACAGTTGAAGTGCAGAGGAAGATATTGCATCTGTCTGGAGTCCCCGCCAGTGAAAAAGGGATAATGTCAACTTATAAAATTTAAAATATTTACGTTTGATGAACACACCTGTCACATCGACAGCTGCTCAAATAAATTGTGCATTGTCAACTCACTTTTATAACATTTATTGTACACAACAACCACATACAAATAACTACCCAAATAAATTGCATGGGTTTTATTTAAAATATATTGTTATATAAAAACTGATATATTTTAAGTAAAGAGGAAGTATTTTGATACTTTTTTTGTATAAAACCAATAAAATAAACTAGATTACAAATATTTAAAATATATAAAACCTACTTTGTGGGTGTAGCACTTTTTACAGTGCTCCCTAAAGTGCTCTGCCCCTCTTTTTCCCTTCTGAATTGCATTCATTCAGCAAGCCTCTCACTCTCTAGACTGCACAGCCTGGTAAGAGGAATTCTGCTCTGAATATGCATAAAAAGAACTTTGCAATCATTCGCACAAGCTGAATTAGAGATTTTGAACTTGGATAGATGCTCCAGCACTGCATGTTATTAATGAATCTGGCTTTATATAATGCAATCTTACCTCAGATTTTATTTCAGTGAGTGGCAGAGGATCTACTAATAGGCTGTAGGAACTGTCATGCTTCTGGCACTCAGTATCTATTTCTGCATAAGTCATGAGTTGTGCCACCCAGCCCAAACTGAAGCTATGGGTTGCAAGAGTAGTTTACAGTTAAGATGATCAAAAAAAATGTCAGCTCCAAAAAATATATATTTATATATATTAGGGCTGTCAAATTATGATTAATTGCATCTAACATAAAAGTTTGTGTTTATATGTACACACACATATATATACACACATTATATAAACACAAATTTTTATGTTAGATGTGATTAATCACGGTTAATCGATTTGACAGGACTAATATATTGCTTATAAAAAATAGTGTTGTTAAATTGGATATTGTGGTTATATAACATTCTACCAAAATCACGTTCAAATGGAGTTACAAGTTTTTTTTGACCAGTGAATGTCAGACATATGTGTTTTGTCCATCATTGGAACAGCTGCATCTGAGGCAGTAAGTGCATCGCATCACACTTTCATCAACTTACAGGTTATAAACTTTATTATGTGGGTGCTCAGACTTTTCTGTCATTTGTCCAAAATCCCATGTTATAAAAAATGAAGTGATACCGCACAGCCTATTAAAGACAGTATTGGCTGTGACTCGATGAACCTCAGCAATTATCCCTGGCTTCTTCATGCTTACAATTAAATATAATGATTTATACTTAGATTACTATCTATGGAAAGGGACCTTATAGAAGCAATTCTGAGTCTCAGTGCATTGAGGGGAGGGGGGAAAAACTGGTGGGATAGCACTATAGCTCTTTTATTTGCCCCATACGTTAATCTGCAGGAGCAAAGCCATTCACGAGACAGCTGCCAAGATACATGGGTTTGATTATACATTCTCGTGTTCTGTTCAGGGGTGCGTGTCACCATTTCAACCTAAAAACACTTTTCTTCTCTTTTTTCTCTCTACCAGGCCTATCAACTTTATAAGAGCTTTCTTTGTG